GCTTCTTTTTGAAAATGCATATACTAACACATGAGATTGAACTGGCGTGCTGCCACTTTGTGGCCTTGGAACATGAAAATGCAGACGCCCACAAACCAGTTCCCATAAGAGCAGCCACACACACTGTTGCATACTCGTGAAACACAGCCATAAGTATGGCGCACATTCCCAGAACCGACCAGATAATACAGAGTAAGTACAATTACAGCGGAAGACTTGATACACATGGACTGACTCAAAACCTGACTCAGACTGCAACGAATCTCTCACAAACATGCATCGGTGGTGTGAAAGCCCTGGCCTTGAACATGGAAGAAGGCGCCAGGGGCTGATCTCATACACAGATGAATGGGGGGGGAGGAGAGACGAAGGGACGAGGAGAGGGAAGATGACGTCAACTCAATGTTTCCAAAAATAGTATCTCGAAATGTCAGAAGTAGCGAAAATCCGAAATGTCGCGAAGACAAGGTTTCACAGTGTCCCAGATATCGATCTCCCAATGTCAAGATACATGTCCAGAGGTAGATGAAGTCAGATCCCAAAAGTAATCCTCAACCAAAAGTCTCAATGTTGTCATCTCCAATATCATCAGAACTCGTTACCATCCATCATCCTTGTAGTAGTCCAGTAGGAGTAACCCAAGAAGTAGACTTAGACTTAGAGGGTAGGAGGAGAAAGAAGCGGAGGAGGAGAGGAGGAGAAAGAGGAAGAGGGAGGAAAGGCAAAGCCTTCCTCCCTGATACCTGGGTGGCCACGCCGGCTCTGCTGAAGTCCGCTGGGCCGAGCTCGGCAATGCAGTGCTGGCGCTGGGCGGCGTGCTGAGCCAGAGCGCTGGTGCCAACCGCTGCTGCGCTAATCCTCTTCGCCGCTCCGCTATTCTAACGCTGAAACGCAATCCCAGACTAACCTGTAGACTAACCTCCTTACTGAGGCTGGTACCCAGCTGATACAGTGCTGGGCCGGCCTCAGATCTACTGGTGCCTTCGGAAGGCTCGTCGGCGTACGAGGGTAAATAAGAGTGTTGTGGCTGCCTTGCTCGACGATAACCCAGGGCACAGGGGTGGGACCGGATTGCACACCTTCAGACACGCTTGGCTTCAGATGCTTAGGGACGTGACACCGAGACATTGAGAAGAACAAAGGGAGGGGTAGGTTCCAGGTGATAAGTTCGAGTTTAATTCCATGCTATGAACAGACCCGGTTAGTCAACATTATTTTTATTATTGATTAGTA